TCTAGACAAAAACGAATTGTTCGATGCACTGAAAATATATACAATGAGATTAGTTTTTATTTTATGAATTGTTTAAGTAGTGAGTGTGAATGTAAATTAAGATCTTCTAATCATACTTTCTCACACTTAAACCTGTTTTGAATCAATTAATAGCACGAAGAAGAAGTGATCCAAAGAAACAGGATTTAAGACTTGATCATGGTAGATCTAGACACATTAGAATACATGATCTGAAAACATCCTGAAAAAATAGTGAACAATATTCAGTAACACTAGAGAATAAGCTTAGCCGAACTTTATGGTGCTTTCATATTTGTTCATGTATCTAAAAAAAATGCTTGGGCAATCATTCAAATACTCGACATTATCTGAAATGACTAGATAGTTTACGAACCAGATCCTAAACATCGATCTAGACCGTGGGTTTGATGCATACGTATTAACTTCCAGTCATCGAAGATGATGATGTAGCTTATATTGGCGGAGAAGTTTCACTTATTGATTATAGTGAATGTAAAAATCGAAATGATATTGAAGCACTTGCACTTACAGGTTCCTTTTTTAATGATATTGAAGATGAAAAGACATAGTAGTATAGAATGACGAGAATATTCTAATAATCTATTAGGCATTGATGATTGTCATATCTTGACGTGTGCAGGCGATGATTTAGAAAAAAGTATTTTTGTTCAAATAATTCATAACAACATTTATCAGGTCAATTTATAATTTTCACTCAAGGTCCGGCAGAAAACGGTAGTAATGCTTACTGTATTACAAATATCAATTGAAAATACATTAAATCATATTTTTGTTCACAAACAATAGATTGAAATTTTAGAATAGTTGTAGATAAAGATTGTTTATAAAACTTTGTGTATTTATGTTTTATACCTATCGTCTACTGTACAATAGTATATATCAAATAAAAATATGTGTTGACATGAACATAATGTCTTTTCTTTCTAAGTGTTCTGTTTGAAATATGATTACTATGCTTAGAAAACAATCATCAACGTCTATAAAGATTACCACGAATGAGACAGAAATTGAAATTTAATATTATATCTTATATATGAAAATGTATTTGCTAGATATCTTACAGAAGTAGAACCAAAGTAATATAAATTACACATGACGTGTAGCTAAATAAAAAATGAAATATATTAATTATTTTGCAGTTCACGATTTTGAATTATTATAAACGTCCATATGAACAAAATAGAATGAAAAACGTGATGACATTGTTTATTTTTATAGGCTCCTATTGTTTGTGACGAATATTTGTTCTTGATTAGCAGTAACAATGACGAAATGAATTAATCATAATATGATCTAGCAAATATGGGTAATTTTGTGGTGAGGTTATAAATGGAAAAAAAGGAACATGAAAATTAATTACATAATATTTTCTTCATCAATTAATATTCAGTTGCAAGAATACAATTGAAATCTGCCATTTAGAAAAAAAAAAGTTTCGTTTTGTATTTATTATATTCTATTAAATGCCATTTTCTTTTCATATACAATGGAATGGTACAAAACAAGAGAATCCATTTTAAATTTCTGCAAATTTATTCTTAAAAGACTTTTCTATTTCATTAGATAAACGTTCGATATTTTTAATTAATCATTCTATTCAATATTTAGATTATTAAGAAATAGATCTGACTTAGTTTACAGTAGGAATCAAAATTTATTTATCTATGCATCTAATCATCACATCATTTGATCATTTAGCACGTTATTTAATTATTATAAAAGCTCTTTCATGAATAAAATACATTTATGAACAACTAAAATATAATCACCATTTGGCATAATGATTTTCGGCAACTCCAAAACCATTTTCAATCACATATGTATTATCAAATAATTCTATAGTTCCATTATAAATACCAAAAGCTTGAACAAAATCTCCAGCTAGAAGAAACATATTGATATATTCTTTTTGACTACCCCATGGTTGAAAACTAAGACGAATCTTAGGAGTTTTAGAATTAGTATCTCCTGTAGAATAGATTTGCCATGATTGACTTGTTAGATATTGTTTTTCAGGTAATTCATAGGCAATTCGATTAACTGTATGAACTTGTCCACCAATCCTGTATTATAGCATTTATTAGAGTAACTAAATATTTATGCTTAATTAAACTCACCAAACAGCATTTTCCATTGAAATACCATTATTATCATTATAAATTATATCAGAAAGATTTATACCAATGGCAATAGGTTCATTATTGGATGAATTTGTTCCTACTACCGAAAGGCAAACCCTAAAATGCTTAGATCAAAATTAAAATATTCATTTGTGGTTAACTATTTACCATTTCCAACGAGATAATCTTTCTGCATAAGCTAATGTCCAATCCATACTACTGAGTCCATCAAGAAATTCTTCTTCTTTATTATTATCAATCTTTATTTTTCCGCGAGCAGGTAAAGCAGCTATTTTATGTGTATAAGCTGGACGAGTTTCTTCAACGGGATAAACTAAAACCATTGATTGATCATTTTCATTTGAATATTCTATTTTAAAATCAAATGATACTTGAAGACCATTATTCATTGGTACATTTACATCGATTTCATAGACTTTTTCTTTAGCATTATAACAAAGGCGAATATATTCTACTGAAGATTGATTAAAATGAGTGCATCCATCAATAGATGATTTAGCTTGTTCTTTAATAGCTTGTGCTAAAAAAGATCTACTAGCATATTGATAAAATTGTTTATCTGGATTTGTTCGATCAACTACATAGACAAATGCATTAGCCAAATAATTAAAATTAGCAATAGCAGCAGTAATAAAATAACGTGAAGTTGAAATAGATTTAAAATCCCAATGTTTAAGTGCAATAAAATTGAAGAATTTAGATGAAGAAACCCATGAATAATCAACTATTGAAAAAGGCTTCTTATAACGACCGAATTCATTTGTTTTCAATGGAAAACGATCTTGAATTGGACCAAGACATTTTGGTTTAGGCAAGTTTATATATCGAGCATTTTCTATTAGACCAAATAAAATTGCAAATAAAGGTACTAAAATTGTGACAACAGCAATAAAACGAAGCATGTTTATTTGCCAATGAAGACCTATATTATAATTACAAGTGCTTTTATCTATAACTATGTTTTAATAAAGTGGGCGTGTTTTTATCTTTTGTTCTTATCATAATGTTTTTTTTTTATTGTTTCCATTATATGTTTGTATTTACTCGAGAATGCAATAATTTATCTATTTTATACTTCGTATTCATAAACGAGGCTCTTTTTTTTGTTTGCACAAAATGACTGTAACAATTATAATACATATTTATCGTCGTTCAGGTATAGTCTACCTTGTTCATGACATAGGATAAAACTTTGAAGAGCGAGCGTTGTATGCAACCAATACGAAATCAGATTTTATTCGATGAATCATGAAAACATTTACCGTTTTCAAAAAAAAGAAAAATTATTTCTTCCTTTCATAATAATATATATGTGTCTCTTTCCTTTTCAGTTGTCTTTCTCTACTTTTATCATTACTAATCAAAAAAGAATTACACACTTGCCTTTGTAATAGGTAGTTCATTATAATATTATCACCACGCGCAAAAACAAAGATATATGGTGAGATTAATAAAAACACAGCTAGAAAAAAAAATATTTCACATCTTTCTTGATAACCTGTGTAGCTCGTGATGTTTTACATGAAGTATTTCGTTGGTGATGATCCTTACACGCGCTTGCACAGAAACTTAAGCAAGCGAACAAGAAGTCCAAGCACCTGAATCTACCAAAAATACTTCAAGATATGTCCATATCATATGACTTTCTTTGTCAGAATTCTCAAGAACTTTATGAACATGAAAAAGAAGTTTGGGCTAGGAAAAGCTTTGAAACATTGATTGAATTGAAACAAAGAATTGTTGGTGTGTCTACCAAAAAAGATGACTTTTTCAAAGCATCTAATATTACATCCCCGTACAGCTTATGAAAGATAAGACAGAATAGTAGAATCTAGATGATCTAATATATTGAGAGTATTATATAGTGTTTCAAAAGCAAAACCACCTTCTAGAAATAACCTGCGAATTCATATATATCACTTCATTTTTATTAAATAATAGTTCCTTATATAAATAAATGAATTACATACATTTTATTTTAATGAGTAGAAAATTGTAAAAACAAAAAAAATGACGTTCAATACCAGTAGCACTCAACACTTTCATACAACTGCTTCACTAAATAATTATCTGCTCGTGCATCATACTGTGAAATTATTTCAATGCTAAATTCATATTCAACTGATTCATTTAGATCATTTTCTATTTAAATATGCTCTATATAATAAGCTAACATAGAAGATTTCATCGAAAATTGTGTGAAACAGAAATGAGCACCTCCACTATGTCACGCTCCAATCCTATACCGCTGTGGTCCGCTTATTAAAACTCTACTCCAACTTTCATGAGAAAAGACGTCAACTTCCCGGTAGAAGTTGCTCATCTTCGGCGTAAAAAAAGGAAAATATTCATAGTTAGTGTCTCGACATTCAAAAAATGTTTCATTTCCTCCCAGCCCACTATGTCCAGATTTGTGCAGGTTTGACAAGCCCTTCACTCTTGACTTTGTCTAGATACATTTTATTGATGCCCACTCCGCTACATCATAACAATTAGCAATATCGCCAGCAATAAAATAAGACAAAGTTTAAAAAGTTTGAAATTCCAATGTTTAGGTGTAATAAAATTGGATAATTTCGATGCAGAAACATATCTATCATCAACCACTGAAACGTTTATCATACAACGACTAAAGTCACCTGTTATCCATAGAAAACGATCTTGCATTGGACCAAGATATTTTGATTTAGGCAAATCTATATATATCGAGCATAGTGTTTTAATACATTAGCAACAGTTTTTTTATGTTCTTGTCATGGAATTTTTTATTGAGAAAAAATTAGAACAAAAAAAGAAGAAATGTATTAATCAAAATAGTTAACTAGTAATATCACATTGTACTTGTTCTCCATCGGTCGTGAACCATTCAGCATTGCAGCCTCCACAATAGTTCGGGATACATGTAGCGTTAGGATATGCTGAACATGTTGCTCCCTATTGAAAAGTGTCGATAAAAAGGAAAGCATATAAGTTAGTCATTATAACTTACTTGACATGGATTTCTAAAACATTGAACTTCAGGCTGATCAGGTGGACATGGAGATACATTATCACAGTCCGCTGGATTACCATCAGCTCCGAACCACAGAGCACTACATTCACCGCAATAGTTAGAGACGCATGTAGCGTTTTCATCTCCTGAACATGTTGATATCTAGAATTAATAATACATATTAAAATCTATTATGATATGTGCAACTCACAGAGCATGGGTCCACAAAGCAAGCTACCATTGGTTCTCCCGATGGACATAGATTTTTTCCAACTGGTTTTCCAAATATACCTATAATAAAGCGATACTAAAATAAACATTTCTAATGAATTACTCACCTCCGATTATTAATGTTGAAATAATAACACCAGCAAGATAAGTTATAGTTTGCATTATATTTTTCGATTTGCTTGAAAGTAGAATGATTTATCGGTTTTTCACTTCGTATTTATAGGTGATTGTAAGCAAGACTCTTATCTTCCTTCACAAAAGTGACTGATAATTGTCATGCATATCTATCGTCATTGAGACGTAGTCTACCTTATCCATGACGTACGATAAAACTTTGAAGAACGAATATCATGTGTATCGAATTCGAAACTGTTTTTTTTTTACATTGCTCTTAGTCATAAAATCATTTACTTTTTTCTGAAAATATTCTTTCAAAGTTTTCACAATAAAATTTCTATGTACATGCACATGAAAATCATATTCTACGTTTGCCTCTTTCGTTTTGCTTTATTTTTCTCTAGTTCAATAATTATTAACAACTGCATTACTACACACTTTGTTTTTTAATAGTTGATAAATGAAACAGAAGATAATTTAAAGTTCCTCTTTCAGAATCGATTTCTTTAAGACGTATGTCCATAATAATATCTATGTTCGATATGAACAATAGTTTGCTTCCATCGCCGTAACAACATGTCCAGCAGTGGCATAATTCAAGAATTTTTATTAATTAGAATTTCGTTTTTCCTGTAGAATTATGTTTCATTATATAAAATTATTTGTACATCTAAATCGAGTTGTGATTCCATACGAGAGTTATGCTTCATTATATAAAACTCGATTATTATTATACTTGAAATAGAATTCTCCTGGGTACATTCATTTTTCAAGGATCTATCATTTACAAAACCTTGCCTTTCACGTAAGGTTTATTATTATATTTCAAAGTAAATTTCCCGCATGAAAACCATCTTTTTTTTAAGCAGAATTCAGATATGATTCTTTATCAATGTGAGAATTCTGCATTTACAAGTTATATTCATGGAACACATCCACAATAACACAACTTTATTTAATATCTCATGGAATAAAAAAATGCAAAAGTATGATTTATGTTGCATCATTTTATTGAAATTTTTCTCACCGAAAAGTAATAACCGAAATAAAAAAAATAAATCTCCGATAATAAAATGGAGAAAGAAATGCATCTTTTTTCAAAGTCATCGATTCGATAATTTTTATCATCTTTTCATTGTATGTCTTTGGTTTTTTTTCAACACAAATCATATCTTTAGATTATATGATTTATTGAACTACATATTGTAAAAAATAGGTACAGGAGAACAAAAACGGTGTAACTCGAAAGCAATCAATCCTTTGTTTTGTTAATCTTTATCGAACGAAGAAATAAGACTGAAATTTGAGAAAAGTTCCAATATATTATTTAATGATTTTCATGGTATTATTTTGATATAAAATTCATTATTCTCACGAGTGATTTTCTAGAAGAATAATGTCGTTTATAACACATACTTACCTCTGCATCTGAATCGAACTTGTGACTTTCAAGAATAATTGTTGTGCATTAAATGTACTTTTGCCTACAAAGTTAAGTTTTAAATATAATTCCAAACTTGATAAGTTTTATGAAGATTTAAATTAATATATTTGACATATTGAATTTCTTCGATGTTTGCTTGAACTGATATTTCATGAAATTATTGATGCACTTCATTGAATTCAATTGAATATCGAGCTTTATTCAACTTTAAGATGATAATTTTTGCAACAATTTTATCATTTTGTTTTGAATATCTAGTATCAAAATAGGATTTATATTTTATTTTATCGATTTGAATGAATTTATTTTTCATGTCAGAAACTACTGTTCGTAATTCATGTAATTTATTACGAATTTTTTACTATTAAATTAATGTTTTCCAATCAATTTCAATTTATTTCATTACTAGCTAGATTTATATTTTTTATATTTAAGAATATATGAAAATCAATTACAACTATGTCTTGTTCATTATCGTGTATTGGGAGATAAACAATATGAATTTGTGTATATTTATAAATTTTAATATTATATGTTAATGTTTGTCATAAAGAACTAAATAAAGATCTAAATAAACTTGATGATTCTTCTCGAAATAGAATATACATTTGAAAATATCAATATTTGTCATGAAGAACAACAAAATGATATAAATAATATTGATGTTTCTCATGTATAAGAATCCCAGTGATTTGAATTACTTATCTCCTCCACTATTCACTCTGACCTTGTTCCATTTAGTAAATCTGCCAATGGATGGAAGTACAGCATCATTTGTCTTTGATGTTATCATTTGATATTCATTTAATAATAATCGTTATATAGGATGAAGTACAACTCTGCCGTGAAATCATAGTTCTGCTAGAAAAACAAAATCCTAAGCAGAATTTTCATGTAGATGCAGTGATAACTGTCTATGATGAGACACAATTTTGTTTTAATTAAGAGAATTCGTAATAGAATTATTAGTTTTCTGTCAAAGTATTATAAGAATTATGTTAATATTACTAGAAATCGGATGTAGTTAATGTTAAATGTATTTAAAATGCAGAAGTTTTAAATTTTGCCACCTCTCATTCCAGCTATACTATTCAAACATTAACATAAACAAATGACTGAAATAAGTACTACAAAAAGAAGTTCCATTTTCTTTTTCTCACTTATTTAGCTATTCAAAAAAAAATTTTAATGTTCCCAGCGACAGATCATATTCTTTAGTAAAAGGAGTGCTTTACATATTGTATCAAGATGTTTGGATATATTGACTGAACATGTGAGATAAATGCAATAAACCCGTTTACTAACGTTGTCTTGCATAAAAAATGAATTGAAACTAAGAATTATGGATCCGACAACCAAAAGCATGACTTTCTTTTCGAGACTGAGTAAAAGACTGCCCTTGTAACTTATAAACACTAAAATAGAATTCAGGACTACGGGTCTTCTAATCTGTCGAGGACTTTAGAGTGCATTACAAAATACAACAAATTTCTAGAAAGAACCTATTAATTCAAATATATCATTTGTTTTTAATTAAATAACAGCTAATTAAGTAAATAAATGACTATAAAAAAGACAAAACACACATTTTATAAACAACAAAGAAAAACCTAACATATTACCAATGAGACTTGAAAATCTTATATAATTGTTTCACCTAATAACTCTGCTTGTGTAGCATAATCTTGAATTATTGCAGCAGTGAATTCATATTCAACTGATTCATTCATTTCTCTTCCTGTTTAAAATTACTTTTTAAAACAAGATAACCTTGAAGATTTCGCTCAAATTTATGCGAAAGAAACAGGAAAATATTCATAGTCAGCATCTGAACATCCAGAAACGTTTCCCCTTTGCCCATTTCTCTATTGAGATTTGTTCAGTAGTAAGAAATTGCTCTACTTTTTTCTTTATCTGGATGTCTTTTATTAATGTTCGCATAGCTAAATAATTAAAATAAACGATAGCAGTAGCAATTCAATAACATCTAATTCAAATAGATTCAAAATTTCAATGTTTAAGTGCAATAAATTGAATAATTCTGATGAAGAAATTCATTCACACTCAACAATTTAAATCAGTTTCATATAATTGCCGAATTAATTTATTTTCAATGGAAAATGAGCTTGATTTGGACCAAGATACTTTAGTTTAGATAGATGTCTATGTTGCGAATTTTGTTGCGATAAAATGACAACATTTTTAATTTCTGTTTTTATCATCATGTTTTTTATTGAGAAAAAATTATAACAAAAAAAGAAGAGGTATATTAATAAAAATAGTTAACTAGTAATTTCACATTGTACTTGTTCTTCATTGGTCGTGAACCATTCAGCATTGCAGCCTCCACAATAGTCCGGGATACATGTAGCGTTAGGATATGCTGAACATGTTGCTCCCTATTGAAAAGTGTCCATAAAAAGGAAAGCATATAAGTTAGTCATTATTACTTACCTCACATGGATCTATAAGACATTGAACTTCATGTTGCCCAGGTGGACATCTAGATTTTCTAAAACATTTTGCTCGTCTACCATTAGCTCCGTACCACACAGCATTGCATCCGCCACAGTAGTTAGAGACACACGTAGCGTTTTCATCTCCTGGACATGTTGATGTCTAGAATGAATAATATATATCAAAATCTGTTACAAAAAGGAAGAACTCACAGAACATGGATCCGCTTTGCAATTGACCGTGGGTCTACCAGGTGGACATGAAGACGTCAGAGCTGGTGCTCCAAGTATACCTATAACAAAATCGTACTAAAATAAACACTTCTAACAAATTACTAACCTCCGATTACTAATGTTAAAAGAAAAACAACCGCAAGATATACTATATTTTGCATTATATCGTTGTGTTTGCTTGAAAATAGAATAATTTTTTGTGTTTACACTTCGTATTTATAGGCCTTTGTAAGCAATGTTTTACTCTCCTTCGCAAAAAACACCGTAGTAATTATCATGTACATTTAATGTCATTCAGTGTCTAATCGATAGTGCTCATAACGCATAATAAGACTTTGAAGAGCATACGTCACATGTATGGAGTATGAAACTAAGCTTTTTGTCTTTCTTTCAGTCAATAAAAAATATACCTTTTTCTAAAAATATTCTTTTGTAGCTTTGACAATAATACTTCGATTTTCATCTATTGAAATAACATATTATATTTTTGCTTCTTTCGTTCTGTGTTTGTTTTTTCGTCAGTTGAATTATTACTAAAAAAAGAACACAATTACGTACTTGATTTTTTTAATAGTAAAAATGATTCACCATAGTTCTATATTCGCAGACATCAAGAATACATATGTATATCTGCGCATAAGTATAGATATGAATATATAGACAATAGAAGGAGTCCATTAATTCTGCGTATCTTTTGAAATAGCTGTTTGCTGATGTCAAGAAGACAGACAAGAGTAAAATATCAACATATACCCAATATTACAATCTAGTATGTTATGTAACGGATAGAACGAAAGATTATCTATTTCAAAACAACAAAAAAGAGAAAATGTTATTTCCTATGTGCAGCATTGAACTCTTATTGTTGAGCGTGGGTAGTAGCTGCTGCTGCAGCTGATTGCTATTGAATTTATTGACTGACTTTAAATGAGTGGTGAAGTATCAAAATATGCGGTTTCAAAAATATATCCAACAAATTTCTATAGACAAGCAGTTGAATGTTAGCATCAGTTATATGCGCATTCTAGGCAATTTCTAAACCGGACTCATAAAAGCCACGCGAATGAAAACACTTGCAACAACCGATTACTATAAAATAATTCAAGCTTTTGTATTCAAGATGGAAGAATTTTGCTTGCCTTTGAGGATGTCTAAATCTACTTACTCATATAAATTTCATCTTTGACCTCTCCGTTAGACAGTTTGTCATGTAAACTCTGAATTTTTATTATGACCCGAATAACTTTATGAGCATGAAAAAAAATTAGACTGAGAAAGCCTTTGAAACCTTAAAAGAGCTCCGTCTGAGAATCGATTTTATAGTATCTAGGCTCATAATAATATCTAAGTACAGTATAGATACAATTTGTTTCTGTCATTATAGTGACATGTTGAGTCCGAACTACAAAAATCTTTAAAAAGCAGCTAATAGGGAAGCAATAGTCTTTTGAAAAATTCGTTGCTCTATTGAAAACATTTTGCAGAATCGCTTCACTACTATTTTTACAGTATTATCTAATAAACAAAATTATTTTAATTCTCTATAAGAAAAAAGCATTCGCATGGTGACAGTTTCCAGCTCGAAACACACTCAACAAAAAACTGAATATCTACTTAAGCCCCCCCCCCCTCTCAGAAACAATTTGCCACTTAGAATGGCCCGTTTGGGCTGAAATTTTCAGGGATGAGTAATCCTGATGAGATACGCTTCTAGTAATAATCTCAGCTCGATCGATTATACTGGGCCGAATTTCCAGTTGATTCATAAGCCTTCAGGAGAATGAATGTAACTCCACTGTAGCACGAGGTATAGAGCTCGGAGTGGTCTCAAACTAAAACTAATGTCAGTACACAACTTTTATCTCAACAGAATTTTTAAATCCTGTATTGTTCATTTTTTATGGATATTTCAGTAGACATGTCTTAAAATCAGCACGAAAAACGGTGATCCAGCGACAATAAATTCCACTTTTCTCAAACCAGGAATCAATTATAAAAGATCTGTTCAGACAAAAGTTTACCCTTATTGAGACCTTCAAAACAAAAAAAAATATTGGGTATACCTTGAACTGGGTGAAAGTTATTTCAATTTTTCTAATCGGAAACCATGTTCTGAGAAAAACGCTAAAGAAGTTTTAGAAATGGATTTTTCATTCAAATGCATGAAATAATGGTATATTGATAATATTTATATGGAATTTTTGAAAGCACGCAATAGATGGCGTAAGCTAGCACTACAGNCTATACGTATATATAGATATGCGTATTTATTCATATACGGGTAATTGTGATTCTTCTCTGTTGTCTTTCAATAGTTGTTTTCTTCTCTTTATTATCTCAAATAAACCAGAACTCACATTCAGGTTCATACGTTCATTTATATAAGTACCACAAACTTACAGTTCATATCGAGAAGCAGATCATTATCGAGATAAATGTGTTATTGTCGTTGGTGCTAGTCATTCTGGCATTGATATATCAGGTGAATTAGCTCTAGTAGCTAAACAAGTAATATTAAGTATGAAAGAAGAAAATCAAAAAGATTTAGAATTAGTTCTTAATCAACTTCAACTAAGTGGAAAACAATTATGTACTGATTATTTATCAACAACATTTTCTATAGAACCACCTATTGAACGTATTGATAAAGATATAGTCTATTTTAAAAATCAAACTTCCATTAAACCTGATTTAATCATATTTGCAACTGGTTATGAATATCGAATGCCTTTTCTTCAAGGTAAACTACAAGTTGATCAAAATTGTTTATTAAAAGATCATTATGTTTATCCATTATACAAGCAATTATTTCATGCTGATTTTCCTAATGGTACACTTTCATTTTTAGCTATTCCTTATCGTATTGTACCATTTCCACTTGCTGAAATACAATCACATATTGTTGCACGTGTCTTATGTGGAAAAATATTCTTACCATCTCGAGATGAAATGATCTATGAAATAGATCATTCATTATTACCACGTAATCGAAGATATCATTATGTTAATATGATAAATTATACAGAAAATTTATTTGAAATAATGAATGAAAGTAATAAATTTTTTAATTATATATTTACAATTGATAATCAACGATGTGTTAGAAAAATAATTAAATAAATAATTTTTACCTTTCTTTTCTTTTCTAGATGCCACAGTATAGTTTTGATGAAATTCCACAAATTGAATCACGATCTCGTGTAGCTATTGTTACTGGTGCTAATGAAGGTATTGGAAAAGTAACAGCACGTGAATTAGTACGAAAAGGTTGGCATGTTATTGTTGCTTCACGTAATGAAGAAAAAGCACAACATGCTATTAATAGTATTCGACAAGAAATTAATATGTCTGATGCGCCACTTGATTTTATTCAACTTGATCTTTCATCATTTACAAGTATACGAAAATTTGTTGATGAATTTCATCAACGACAATTACCTTTACATCTTTTAATAAATAATGCTGGATTATTTTTATCTGAATTTCAATTATCTGAAATCGGTGAAGAATTACAATTTGCAACAAATCATCTGGGACATTTTCTTTTAACAAATTTATTATTAGATGATCTTCGAGCATGTATACCATCACGTATTGTTATTGTATCTAGTGGTGCACATTTGCAAGCAACAAATATTGAACTTGATGATCAAAAACGTAATCAACCTTTTCCAACATCATCCATTAGTAAATTTCGAGCAGGTTTTCAATGTTATCGTCAATCAAAATTAGCCAATGTTATGATGTGTACAGAACTTGTGCATCGACTTGGACCTGAATCGAAAGTCTATTGCAATACTTTACATCCCGTAAGGTTTAAATCGTTAGCAATGTGAGAAAAAAAAAGGACAATGACTTTCATTTTGTGTATTTTAGTTTTAAAAAAAGAACTTCGAATTAAGACAGCATCTTTGACAACTAAATAGTACATTCACTAGACACCTTATGAGATTAGAAAATCAGTTGTTATGAGGAAATTTTTCGGAGTCTGATCTTACTGAAAACTTCATCGTTGAGTCTATTCTGAAGTTTTTGGATTTTTTTCTACTACGATCTGAAAGATATTCGCTAATTACTTTTTTATTAATAGCAAGCTGAAAGAACCAACATTTTCACATATGTTTATGCTAAATTGACTTACTCAGAAAAAAATCACTCTTTTATAGAGTAAAAGTCAAATAGAAGGTGACAATGTCTTGTTTTGCCTGACATGACATCTAGAACGAAAATACTTATTTTGTTAATAATTCGAGAATGGAAAGAAATGCACTATAATTGTGCAGTCTTTACTATTATGTAAAACATTAATTAGAGTATTGATCAAGAATAAAGAAAACCTGAGAATATACGATCTTTGATTGCATAGTTTTGATTTAGTTATTTTGATGTATTTTAGTCACAACTAGCACAAAAAAAATTGTCTGTCCACCGCAATTGTAGTTATCAAACATTGCCTGTTTGGATTTTTAAAACACTTTTTTTTTTCTTTTATAGAATAAAAAGCTAGAGATATGTTATAAAACATTTCCTTAGCATAAATGAATACTTACATTTTTGTATGGTATATAAAAATAGGATTTATCTCTTTTGTCATATTAGAAAAGAGTACTATCAACTATTTATATAAAATAATAAACCAATTGGGAATGAAATGCATACATAAAACAATATTTAAATACTATGAAAACGCTCTAGACGATGGTTTTTGTCATCTAAAAATTATGATAGTTACAGAAATGGATCTTTTGTTAAACGCTAATACTCTATTCAATAGTTAAAATCATACTTGTCAAGTTCGTTGCGTCCTCAATTTCTAATATATCTAGTTTCAATTTTTTTTTCTTCTCTAAATAATAGTTTCATGTTATTTTTATTTCAAGGGTGTAATTAAAACATCAATTTGGAGAAATAATAAATGGAGTGGACGTTTGATGACACCATTTATGCGATCAGTTGATAATGGTGCCATGACAACACTTTATCTTGCCACTCATCCTGATATTGAACAAAACAATATACGTGGTACTTATTTTGTTCCTAGTAAAATATTGCCACCACCCTATTGTCGACCAGCTATAGCCGAAATGAATCCAATTGCACAAGATAGACAACAATGTCAACAACTATGGGAATTAAGTCAACGTTTAACAAAATTAAATACAACAATTTAATTTAAACATTTCTATTTTCTATAATACAATAAATTTACGAGAATTTTGCTTTTAATTGGCTATCTAAGCAAAATTGTGTCATTCTATTTATAAGTCTTAAGTCTACTCTGTTCGTTTCAGAGAACAATTTTGAAAGGAAAGTGGTTCTTCTATCTATCTCAATCTATTTTCTCATTTTTATTTTCTTATTCTTGACTATACAAGGATTCTTCTTCTCATCATTTCCGTTACGTTGAATCTCGTCAATATTCTATTCTACATTCATAACAAGTACACTACACTTGAATGATGATTTTCATTGTATTATGAAAGAAGTTTGTAATAATACCATATCGATCATTTCGAATGTTTTTGATTCCGTTGTATTTATTTTCGTTTCTCATTTAACATCAATAATTCTGTTGTTTGTCATTGTAAGTACATTATAAAAAAAACGGCACAGTGTTGTTTGCGTCTGCTAATCAAATATTGAAACATAACTGATTCATTTTTTTGTATGTTGTCAGTGTTAATGAATGACATAAGTACAAACGGATGTCAATGCCATTCATGTTAATGTACCTTTTTTCGTTTCTTTCCTTGACATGTTATATCGTAAGACCTTGAATAAAAACGACTATTTTTTTTTATTTTTATAATGTATATATAATAGTATGCTTTCTGTTTCTTTCTCTTAATATGCGATGAGCTATTTAGCTGTTTTTTACTCCTTAGTTGCTCCGTTTTTACATCGTTCTTATTTCAGAAAGTACTTGCAACGATTTGTTTGTTAGCTTCTCGTAGAAATATGAATTTGCTTGTCGTTTTCGTTTTCTTTCAATTATCGACATGTTTCATGTTCATTAATGAAAGCATTTGTTTTAGTGTTAATTCTTTCTTCTTCGTCGTCTTCTCCTCTTGTTTTTTTGTAATGAGACCATAGAAAAATAAAAATAAAGGGGAAAACTTCATAGAAACAACAAGGTGAGACATGCATACATGCCTCGATAATTTCTTCTGTCTGTGTTCTTTTTTTTTCTTCTTGTTTACAGTTACAAAGAGGTTGCTTGTAAGCCACAGTCGTCGAATACCACCTGTGGAAGTAAGCTATATGAGTGAGAGACGAAAAAATTCTATGTCGTTCTTTTTGTTGTGTACTCATCTTGTCAGTTTAGAATAACGAGGGAAAAAAGCGAAGAAAGAAAAAAGAAAGATACATCGTGCATTTTATAATATAACTAGAGTTTCTTATAATATTTTCTCAACTATATTATCTTATTAAGAAAAAAAAAGATGCCACGCAACATCACTTGTAGATCATCGAAAATTACGGGTAGAGGTAGTAATAACTGGGATCCTCTCTTATTAGTCGATGATCAACAACAACAATCACCAATAATAACAACGACGAATTCAATGGTTATGAATAATGACATTGATAAACGACAATACACATGGGATGAAATACGTCGTCATTCAGATAAAAAAGATCGATGGATTGTTATTGATAAACGTGTTTATGATGTTACTAATTGGACGAAACATCCCGGTGGACAAGTTATTCTTAACCATTATGCAGGACAAGATGCTAGTGTAAGAAATAAAATATTAATGAACAATAAAAATGAATTCTCTGATTTATAGGAAGCATTTTTTGCTTTTCATTCTAATCTTGCACATGTTCAAAAATATCTGAAAGCCTTTTATATTGGTGATGTAATTAGCGATGACGATCAAGACAATACGAAAGATGAGCAAACATTAAAACATGATTTTGAACAATTAAGACAAAAGGCTATCTCTAAAGTAAGTTTCTTTTTAATGTTAATAACGAGAAAACAAAAACAAAGACTTGTTATTTGTATTTCAGAAACTTTTTCAACCAAGTCGATTCTTCTTTATTATAACTTGTCTACATATATTGGCATTTGAATTTGCAGCTTATTTTATTCTATTTCGTTTTGGAACGACTTGGCTACCTTATTTAATAGCACTTCTTTTTTATGTTATTGCTGGAGTTCGTTGATTATTTTTTCTTTTTGTATTGAAATTTCTTAATCTTTTTTTCTAATGTTGTAGGCTCAATGTGGTTGGACTCAACATGATTTCGGACATTTATCAGTATTCAAAAAATCTTCATGGAATCATGTATTTCATAATTTTTTTATGGGTTTCATCAAAGTTTGTTATAAAATATTGGTTTCTGTGTTAAATGATGATAAATTGTGTTTGTAGGGAGCAAGTGCTGATTGGTGGAATAATATGCATTTTCAACATCATGCAAAACCAAATATCATCGATAAAGATCCCGATACTCGTGTAGAACCATTATTTTTATTAGGAAATAATATTCCAATACGAGTAATTTTTTTTCTTTTTTTTTTTTTTTATCATAAGACGATTTTCTGTATTATAGAAAGCTCAGATAAATGCAAAATACGGTGCAAAAATACCTTATAATCTTCAACATTTATATTTTTTTATTGGTAAAAATTACTTATTAATAGATTTAAATAATATATATATCTTATTTTTTTAAATTTTAGCGGCACCACTTTTATTTCCTCTCTATTTTCAATTTATGACAATACGACATGCTATTAAACGACGACAATGGATAGTAAGATTTACAAAAAGCAAAAAAAAAAAATAAAATAAAAGATGTATTTCATTGTCTTTGAGGATCTTGCTTGGTTGTCTATATATTACATCAAATTTTTTTTATTAATGCCATTAAAACTTGGTTTACTCGGAGCATTGAAATTTCACTTTTTAATTCGGTAATTAAAGCTTTTTATTTTTAGAAGCTATTTTTTTGTTTATCTTTCTTTTCTTCTTTCTGTACAGTGCATTCGAAGGTACTTGGTTCGGTATGTATTGTTTTCGAATGAAATATTTTTCTGTTTTGCATAGAAATATTTTCTTTAAATAGTCATTGTCTCGCAATCAAATCATGTTGTTATGGATGTTTCGTATGATGATTTCAAATTATCATGGTTTCAACTTCAATTAAAAGCAACATGCAATATTATTAAATCACCATTTAATGATTGGTTCACAGGTCATTTAAATTTTCAAATTGAACATCAGTAATTCGAAAATGAATTATTTTAGACTCGAAAATAGAATTTTATTTTTTATTTTTTCTAGTTTATTTCCAATGATGCCTCGTCATAATCTCTATAAAATTCAACCAGACGTAATGGAATTATGTCGAAAATATAACATTCCATATATTGTTAAACCTTTAGGACGAGCTTTTCTTGATATTTTGACGTAAATAAATTCAGAAGTTATTTTTTGACAATTATTCAAGGTTCGTTTATTTTCTCTTTTAGATCACTTGAAAAGTCAGGTCGAATGTGGCTTCAAACCTATGAAGATTTGATTCACACTACAAGTACAAAAAAGAACTAATTCAAATGCAAACGAAATCAAAAGCAAACAAAAAAAATCTCACATCAATCTTTTTTTTCTCATTCACTTCTTCATCTGGTTCATAGAAGAATAGAGACGAAAATATTAATCGTTTTTTTTTATATTTTGTTTCTTTGACATATATATTTTTATGATGAGAAAAAGAAAATAAATAAAAATAAAAGTCTTTCTTAATTTTTGAAGATGGATAATAATAATGATAAACAACATAAAGTAATTCTAAAATGGAATAAACAAGAATTAATATTTGATCTTCAATTAACACAAACATTAAGTGAATTAAAAAGTTTAATTTATGAACAAACACATATTTTGCCTGATCGACAAAAATTAATGGGCTTAAAATTAAAAACATCCGGTGTTATTACAAATACAACAACAATAGATGAATTAAATCTTTCATCAAAAATTATGTTAATGGGTACACCAGAAGAATCCATAACAGAATTAAATTTATCGAAACCAGTTCAACCTGATTTATCGGAAGGACAAGAAGAAGAACAACAAGATACAACATGGATTGAAGATCCTGATACAATACCATTAGATAAACGTGAAGAAGTACGAACGAAATTAGAACGTCGAATAAATACATATCAAGGAAAAATTTTAAATGAACCACGACAAGGAAAAAAATTACTTGTATTAGATATTGATTATACATTATTTGATCATCGTAGTGCTGCTGAAACAGGTGCAGAATTAATGAGACCATATTTACATGAATTTTTAACAACTGTTTATGAACATTATGATATTGGTATATGGTCAGCTACATCCATGAAATGGATTGAATCGAAAATGAAATTACTTGGCGTTGAAGCTATTTCACAAGGTCGAACAACAGATACAACATATAATTATAAAATTATTTTTTATATGTATGTTAAAAGATAAGATGTCGGTAATTTGAAATTTACGAAAAAAGTCTTATGGCAGTTTTCTTTGTTATGGTTCGATAGAACTCGTCTAGTTCCCCATAGAAATGTTTTTGATATATTCAAACGGTGTTTTTGTAAGGAAAAATTAGGTTTTCTAAAAATCGGAAAGCCACTTAAAGTTCATCGGATACAAAATTTTCGGACCCGGACGACGAACTTTACTTGAGCTGCAACTGAGGTGAAAATTCGACGAGAAAATAATTTTGAGTATTGAGTAACTTATTTTTCCGTTGATTCTGAATATGATATTCGTTTGTTTTGGAATTGAAATTTTGATGATCAAAATCTTAGAATACAAACTAAGTTTTACTACAAAACACAGCGAACAACAATGTGAACATTTCGTAAAAGATTCTAACCTTTTAATATATTAAAAAAGCCTTAGGGCCAAAACAATGGCCCGATATCTGTCATCTTAGAGAAAAGTATCTTTTTCTAAAGAAATTAGAAAATTCAAAAATGTTTCATGCAGATTGTGGAACTAGAATTATTGCTCTCTCATTCCATGAAAACAGTTTTGTTCTAAAAATTTCTTTATTGAAAAAAGTAAATATTCTTTCTCAGCTAAGAGTTTTACAAAAAGATCTGTTTTGTGTAGTGGGTGTGCACACTTTAAAGTATAACTCGAAGCTAGATGAAATTTACACAAAATGCTTTTTTCTATTTGATATATCTACTCACTACGCATAAAAATTCATAAAATCTTCTAGACAAGATTAGAGATTTTCAGGTTTTGAAAGCTTTTTTTCAAACAAACCTGATGACATATTCAACATCAGTGAAAAAAATCTATCGAATAACGTACTCGCAAGGATTTCCCATTAAACGACATTTCTATATATAATTTGACAAACTCAATCCAATCAAGACAAAAAAACGTAAAATTTGTTTTCTCAAATTTCAAATTGCCGATATCTTAAAAAATAATTTCGAAATGATCTTTTACTATTCTTTTTTTAAGGGATTCTGGTGCAATGATATCTGTTTATACAAAAGAATTTGGTCTACAAGATGTTAAACCTTTACCTGTTATATGGGAAAAATATCCAACACTTTATTCAGAAAAAAATACAATTATGTTTGATGATGTATCAAGAAATTTTTTATTAAATCCATTAAATGGTTTAAAAATTCGTCCATTTAAACGTGCGCATTTGACACGTACAACTGATAGAGAATTAATTAATTTAACACAATATTTAATGATGATAGCACAATATGATGATTTAAGTAAACTTGATCATCGACGTTGGGAACAAATGATTGAACGACAACAATTTATTGAACGACGAAAAAAATAAAATAAAACTTTTCAAATGTCTTTTTTCTTTTGTTTAATTTGGATCTTGAGTTATCTGAGCAAGCAAAGATTGAAGCGTAGTAAATATTTCTTTCACCTAAATAAAAACAAAGTTACTTTCACTGTATTAGCTATATGTATTGTCAGATATTACAATCATTGAATACAATAAAAAAAAAGACTTCTTCAATAAAATACTTTCTACTATAAACAAAAGAAAAAATTCAAAAAGAAAGTCAATCAAATATTTTTATCCTTTCAAAGCATTGGCGAGCTAAATTACTTTATACAAGCGGATTATAATGTAAAGTTTATATTAGATGAATTTCGTTCACAAGTAGAGAAGTCTATATACTAGAAAAATCATAAGAGGATATAAGTCAAAGTTTCGATTTGATAGAGATATCGACTTTTTAGTGTAATGATCTTGTAGCACTCTATTTTTTCCAGTCAAATCAAACTTTTGCCGCGTAACTTTGCTCACACTAAAGCATCAATTAGACTAGCTTATCTACAGCGTTCTATAATTTTCGGATAAGTTATCGTGAGAATATTAATTTTTCCAAATAGGAATGTTAGAGTTCTTTTTCCTGAACGCTTCGTTCTCAGGCAACGACAACGCATCTCAAACTACGCTTACTAGAATTATATACATATATATCGAGGTGTTCATAAAACTGTGCCAATCTTTTTTGGAAGTGGCTATGTGCACTCAGGTAGGGTAATCAATTAACAATAGCTACCTAATTCGAGTTCGAATATAAATGGAGATTCAAAAAAACTAAAACTACTAAATTAACCCATACTCACCCACACATAAAAGTCCGCTTCCCACATCCACGTTTACCTCCTTCACACACTCACACCTACATACTTATCAAACACTCCTCCCGCACTCACCCAAACACCCTTTCCACCCACCTACTTACCTCCGCATCTAACCTCAACTTCTTCGCGCCCAAACTCCACCCTCAATTAATTGATTACTATACCTGAGTGCATATAGCCACTTCCATGAGACAAAAGTTTCATCTTCAATCAAAGATTTAGCATTTTATGATTTAAATTTTCAACTATTAAAAGAATCAAAAATAAAATATTCTGTAAGAAAATGTTTGTATATGTTTATTAAATTTAATTGAAATGTTTTTCAAAGATTTTACAATCTTGTCAAATTGATGCGATTATTCTAATCAAAGCTAATAAACAAAAAATCGATTTATTTATTGGAGCTTTATCTATTAATATTGATCCACCACTTATTAAAAAATTTGCTACTTTAACTAGTTCAATCAAAGGATCAGAATAACAACAAGTGCATATATATGAATGATTTGCATAGCCATTGTACGATTCGTTGACGGAGAATGTTTTGTTAATAAAAGCTATTCTATTCAACATATTTTAAATGTCTTTTTATTATTTTGTTGCCTTAGAAATAGGCATTCACTTATGAAAAAACGAACTTTCCAACTCAAATGAATACTGAGATATACATCAAAGAAGATAAAAAACAGCTGTTTTGGCTCCATATGAAAAAAGAATCAATTTTTTTTCTCATTTACTTTAACCTATTTTAAAAGTTTTCTAGAGTTTATTGTAGCTTGAACAACAAGTTTTCAGTATATGTACTTTGAATTTAATATAAAATAAGGTTTGGATCTGATTCTATCGAAAATCTCGGTTTCAACACACTTTTAGTAAATTGTGTCCACCGAGATTAAAAGTAAGTTCATATGCTAAACAACGAATTCTAAAAACTTCGAAAACAGACACAAATATAGAGCATACCAAGCTCTACATTTTGGTAGAAAAAGAAAATTTATAACACTTTCTATTCAATTAGGAATCGAGATGAAGAATGTATTAAATACGTTTCTCTGTATAAAATGTCCACCGAGATTTCGAAAATTGTATTGTTTATAAATTCAGACGAGGTTGTCCGTTTGAGCCTAAAATTTCATCCTCTTTTTCCAATTTCTGCCAAGAACGAGTGTTAGAAATTTCAACTCTCTAGCTTGTATTGCCACAGAGGAAATCTCACTTTACATCGAAAATATCCACCGATATTCTTTTGTCTATATTTCGACTAAAATAACTTAAAATTCCAACTCATAATATATCACACGATTCGTTGAAACTTTGGCTAGTCGCCTGTAATGACAAATATTTTTTGGTTTCTATAGCTAATTTCTATGCGATTAGTTGTTTTCCTCTCGATTATACCGCTATCTAAAAAACTACCAATAAGGACTATGTAGTTATGGAAAATCGTTGCGCTGAAGCCTTAGCCAACAGTAAAGTGCAGGGAAAATATTATATTCATATACAATCGACACAGCTCTATCAAACGTACTACTCAGATTTCTTTATTAGAAATTTTTTCTTATCATCATTTTTCTTCCAAACCGTACAATGACTATGCAATTCACTCACATAATATATTCATCAAATTAAAGAAATCAAATATTTATATATATTTGGTTATAAAAGTCCAACAAATGAGAAAGAAAAAGTCAATTCCCAATCAATATTTGAACTAAGACCATTTTAAGAATTCAACTTTTTGGTTTATTCAAAGTGTCAATGGATTTGTTTTCCAATTATTTAACTTTTGTGTTTTATTAAAAAGATTCACAAGAAAAAGAAGAAATAGATGTATTAGAAATGACAACAGATTCGCCTTCAAAAAAGAAAAGTGAATGAATCTCCTTCAATAACAAGACGATATTCAACAACCGATGATCGTCAGTTAATTTTTCTCGTTCAATGGGAAAATATTTGAAGATTGTTCTTCCACCTCTATGTTCCGTATTAGTTAAGATTACGTCATTTACACTGAATCATCACTCTAAGCATTCTTTAAATGTTCATATTCTCTTTCAGATCTTCTCAAATATTCGTACTTCTATTCTTTTTGGAACTATTCGATTTTTCAATGGCTATATTTCATCAAGTTTTAGTTGAAAAAGATCAAAAAGTGCTGGATGTGGGTGTGTGGGGTATGAATGGATTGAGAATTGTAATGTTGAAACTCATTGCATCCACACCCACAGACGCGCCCAATGATTCGCTGATCTGTAGTATGAAAGAACTTGATTGACTGCCAGCCAGGTAGTAAAATTATCTGATCTTTAAAGTTTTCAGTTTGAAAAATCTTGATTGACTTGAGTTAAATGCCGAAATCATCTGATTGATCGAATGAGAATATAGCCTAATGCAGCTTTTACATCAAATAGTGTCTCTAAATGTATATGAATATAAGTGGGCATGTAGCTATATAGATGCGTGCGAAGATGCAAACATATAAACGTATTTTGTTTTATTTCGTACAATGCTCCATTTTATGGAGTGAAATAAAGTTCAGAAAAATTTGAATGAAAGTCTCATTCTTATTTATCCGGATCCACAGTTGTAGTCTGTTGTTATCGATATGCTTGAAGGTGAATTAGGATCCATGCACAAACATGCGTGAAACATGCCATAATCTCTACTTTCGATACAGTTTATCAGTCTATCACTTTTGTTATTGCATACATTATTTAAAGAATTGCTTCGATCGCAAAGATCTATGAATATAAAGATTTGTTTCGCTTTTTCAACTACTTTATTCTCATATGGCAAGGTCTATTCAATTCGTAGTCACCATAAGGTAGAGTCTGTCGGGTACAACATTTTTGAACCCGGACTCGGTAAATGGAAAAATTTTGAACCCGAACCTTACCCGGACCTGATCTCGTCTGTGTCTGAGACCAAAGCAACGTGTTCTATTGAACACAAACAATTTATTTTCAACACTAACAACCAAAAGCAACTAGCTCTTCAGAGAAAACTGAAGATCAGTAAAACTTCGAAAAATATTCTTCTATGCATCAAAAATTGCTTTAGACTCGGGCCCGACCGGATACGGGTGCGGGTCGGACCCGACTGGCTCTACCATAAGGAAATGTGTATATTACAGAATTGAAACCAAACTGGACACATTGATATCCATTTTCCATTGTAAAGTAGCTGCTCAATGCACAAGGATTGCTACGACAATCGGAAAGAAAATGGTTCACTAATACTATGTAAGTATATTTTATTATTTTTACCACCTAGTTGCTCCGATGAATATAGAAGTGCGGTAAAAATCAAAACGACAAGCAGTGAACGCATGCTTCTTTAAAGTTGTAAAATGGGAATACTTCTGGAGCATTGAGGAATGTACTTTTATATGTGAATATTAATTAATCATGTTGTTTTTCTTTTCTGATAACGAATCGAATTCGAATGTTGTTAAATAGATTTCAAGTTTCAAAAAATAATTGAAGATTATTGATAATTGATACATCAAATGACTTAAAAAAGGGAAGTATGGGTTGCTTTGGTAAAAAATATACGAAAAATATTAAAAGAAAACTTTCCTGTCACTTTTTCCAGCTGAATTTGATATCGAACGTTTGAGTGGGGTCGTGGATGTAGGTATCAGTGTCAAAATCAATGATAGAGAGAAGATCCATAACCACACCCAACCCCACTCACATCTATGGGTGCCAGTTTCTGGTTCTGTTTCCAGGAGCCTTGAACCTGGGGAGGGCTTCGTTCCCGGGAACTCTAAATTCGGTGCCGGTTTCGTTCCTGGGAACCCATACCGATGTGATACAGATTGAAAGAACAGGAATGCCCATAAGTCTTAATATAATCAGAAACGCGCAGAAACGGAACTCCAGGGAGCGGCAAACTCCGACACCTCTACTCACACTTACCTTTTCTGATTGTTTCAAAAGAGAAAGCAATGCAGTCTGATTTTCTAGAAATAAAAATAAACTAGATGCATTTTTTCTATTTTTTGTCTTCTTTTTAATGTCTATTAATAAGTGGTCTCCATGAAAAATCTTTCAAAGACTTCATCATTGTTTTTCTACGCTCTATATGATCTAAATGTTGAACAGAGTGAAAAAATAGCCTAAGATCTACTTGAGAAATATCGAAAAACTGGCCTCTCTAGTCTTTCTGATTTTCAAGTATTCATCATCTTCGTGAGATCGGAAGCAATGCATGTTGTTCTATACATTTTCATTCATTTTGAGTTTTGTTTCATACATAGGGTCTCATCTTTTCAAACTTGATCTTCTACATTCATTGTCATTGAGAATTAGCTCTTATCAACAATGCTTCGCATTTTCAAAAAGTAAATTAAAATTTACAACTGCTATTAAACTTTTAATTTGTACTTTAAAATTTTTACTCGTACAAAAAAATAAGTATTCTTTGTATTTTCATGAAATATTATCCTTTTAATCTCATAGTTGATTGAAAATAATACAAGAAGCATATCAGAAAAATAAGAAAAAAAAGTCAAATTAAATGACAACAAATAACAACATGCATCTGTTACAAACTAAGCCTTTCAAATATAAGATGCGATAGTCATTCGCTTGATCATACATTCTTTTTTCATTACACTACTTTTTATTGTCCCATTTTATTATATCACTGTGTTTTTAGTGCTTTGTAGTAAATTGAATACGAAGAATCAAGTTAGAGCCTCATAATCAAAGATCTCTAACAGCATCCTACTGTGCACACAAACATACAAAAGTAAACAGAACTCAATCATTGTTATTATTGAGTGTTTCTTCGTCATAATAAATTTATTATATTGTTATTTCACTATCCTGATGAAGCTATCATCATTTTTCTTATCTTTGTTAGTTTTATTTATGTCAATTTCTTCTGTAAAGGTTCATGTTTTGATTGACATAGGTAATGATGAACTTCGTTCTCAACATCATAGATTACTTAACTTCACTTCGTTTGAATCTAATTTAGATGAACCTGTTAGTCTATCTGGAATGAATACTTTTCTTGGTTCATTTCAACATAATGCAATAATTCATGTACCTGCTAATGCGAAGGGAATTGATACGCTTGTCATTACCAAACACAGTTCAGCGTTGGCTTTAGTCAACATACGTTTAGTTATTCCTTATGGTGGTCATGTATGTGCATTTGGTAACGATGGTGTTAAATTTGATTACGACCAATCAAATAATCGACTAGTTTATGAACCTTGTAAATTATATATTACTGAATCACCAGGTAAATTAATTTTACATGATCCTACGAATTATTGCCCAATTTGTAATAATATTGGTGTATTCGATGGACTTGTATTTGAACCCGGTTCACCGTCTGGTTCAATTGACGATTTCATTGGTATTTTTCATCACTCTTCAATAAATGGTGGTAAAGATACTGCAGTTATTATTAAACAAACACCAACCACAGCATTACTTTCTCTTAGTGGTATTCTTCCTGGTGGTCGAAATTGTTCATTAAATACTATTAAAGTTGAATATGTCCCTAATACTGTTCCTTCACGACTCTTTGCTAATGGTTATGCCGATTGTGCATTATACTTTACACCAGAAAAAGATGGTAAATTAACTTTACATGATCCAACTTTTGATTGTGCCCGTAACAATTGTGGAGTATTTGAATTATGGGAAGGTTTAGTTTTTCAAAGGGATTAATGAATTATTCAATTCATTAAATTTATTTCTTGTTATAAATCTTGAAGCAATTCCTTTTTTTGCGTTCGAATGCTTCATTTTATGAAATCTCATCGTATTCGTGTTAGAAAAAGTAAACACAGAAATATAAATGAGAATTGCTTGATATTCTTTAGGATAGCATCATAACTATTTACCAGGTAAGATATTTTATTGTAAACATTGTCTGATTAATCAATAATAACGTTATTTTGAGAGTGAGATTTTTTCAGCAATCGATCTTTTACCACAATTAAATAATACTGAAGTAGTGCACTAATGCTTGTGCATAACGATAAATGAAGAGTTAATTTTGCCAACCCCCGTTTCGTGTTATTTTATTGAAGCTATAACCAAAGTCAGGACTCTACATTACAGTTTTGAAGCATAGGGATACAAAACATATGAAAAAAGAAGAAAAAGGTAACATAAGTTTGAACTAAGGCTTAGTAGCAAATCAAGTGTCTATTGATGCTATCAATTTCATAATAACTCATTAAGAAAAAATAAAAAATTATAGACTTAAACAATTCATAATGTGGCACAAAAATTTGATTAATTCGAATCGGGTAGAATTTGATAATTTTGAATGGTAATATGCTTCTTGTCATGTGGCATTAAATACAACAATGAATAATTTTATAAACAACATGATTTGCATACTTATTGAAATTAATAGTCAATACTAATAATGCCGTTTAACGATACATGCCCACTCATTTAGAAAAAGATGTCATCAGGAATCATTTATGGTTCTAGTGAGAATACTGAACTTTTTTCGGTTTCATTCGTTTATTAATAAACTAACAAAGCTTCTAGATAATATTAAGAAAAATGTCAAACAAAAAAAATGGTTTCAAGTATTTAGAAGAGTTGTATCTCACATTCTTTTCATACAGATGGTTCTAGCGCACGCTGCTTGACCACAAGTGAATCACTTTTTGCACGCGAGCTAATTAACACCAATTTAGAATAACTTTACTTATCCGATAATAAGAAGAAGAAGAGGAAGAAGAAGGCAGCCGATTCTATTAAGTTTGTCAATAATAAAGGTTAATCGGTCACTTAACCATTCATATAACGTCAACATTTTTTCTGTTTATTTATTCCATTACAAGTCGTTCGATTAGAGGAGACCTATATTTCGAAAATGACGGCTTTTATGTCGTGAGATGTAGTGTCCTGCACGGGTACTACTTTTTGCACCCGGACCCGATCCGACTGATTTTTTTCATACCCGGCACCCAACCGGCCCCGATCACTTTGCACCCGAAACCGAACCGGACCCGATCAGTCGTACCCGGTACCCGACCCACCCGACCCGGCCTTCAAATAATAAGCATTTGACTTATATAGTTAAAGCTACATATGCTTTTCAAACTTTTATTTTACATAGCAAAATATACTATTGTATTTTCGACTACTTCACGCTTAAAAAGAAGAAAACAAAAAAGGCAATATAGTTGTCGTCTATCTAATTTGCCTTATGCCTAATGTATAATTCATTGATAATTCATTGTTATATCAATTTGATAAGTCTCCGCTTTTAACTACTAACAAATCTAGAAAGTGAAATATTTTTTGATACCTAGATGTCAGTGACTACCGGGTCGGGTATCGGGCATGTTAAAATTGTGTACCCGACCGGCTATTTATTTTTGTAACCGGTACCCGACCCGATCCGGCAGTTTCCTACCCGAACCCATGTGCCGGGTCGGGTCGGGTGCCGGGTACCCGACCGGGTTGCAGGACACTAATTCAAATGACTTTAAAATAGATAGTTTTTATTCTTTATGATTTTCATTTTTCTCGAGGAAGAAAAAAAAGAGTCGCAGTTAAGTCATTATTATTTTTTATAGGCACTACGTAGTAATGCAATTTATCGTCGTGCAGAAGGAAGTACAAGTTCAAATGAAAAAGAACAAACATCCGATGAGATTGATCAAAAATCGAAAGTGATTGTTCCATTACCTTATCAAACAACACGAAATTGTACAAAAATTTTAATTGATAGTAAAAATCGTTTAACATGTGATCAACGTTTAAAAGCAATTATTTTACATAAAGCAGCATCAGCTTATTTTTGTCTTGTTGATCGGTGTGAACAAGATAAAAATTATGGATCTTGTTTACATTATCTTCGTTTAGCACTCAATTGTTATAGTAAGAATTTGTTTATTTTATTTATTGATTTATTTTAATTTTAATCAAAGGTGCCGAATTTAAACTTCAATCAATGCATCCCAATAATAATAATAGTGAATGTAAAAGATTATTATCATATATAATGAGTATAGCTGGTGATTGTCGTTTAATGATATCACATGTAACATCAACAGAAGACTTCGAAAAATTTCGTGAACAATATCAAATTATGAATGATATTGATTGTGATATTCAAAATGTTATTGATGAAGTTGGAATAGATGAAAATTCTTCTGGTAAATTATTATGATTGCTTTTTGTTTTTTTGCTTTTATTAAATGAATCTGTTTTTTTTTTTTTTTTTTTATTTGAAGAATTTTCTTGGGTTTACGAATTAACACCAATTATTGAACGTAATCTATCTGCTAGTGCACATGCTTATGAATATGCGATTAATATAGTTCAAAATCTTGGTGATCATGATAAACAACGTCTTCATTTATTAATAAAACGTTTAGGTAATGTTAGAAATGAAATGGGTGTTTATTGGATGAATCAATGTGCTCAAGCAATAAAAAATTCCGATCAAGAAACAACAAAAGTATGATAAAAAGAAAATATTTGAATTTTTATTTTTGGATTTAATTTAAAATTTCTTTCAGGATATAAAAGATTTATTTCGAAAATGTTTTGAAAATTTTGATGCTGGTATTCATGCATTTGAAAAAATTAATGATATATCAAATATTGCATTATTACATTCAAATCTTGGTCGATTAATGAGATATTATGCACAATATTATGTTCCATTAGTTGATGGTATTCGACAAGAATTTTCACAACAAGAACGACAAAGTTATCATAAAGCTTTTGATTATTATCTTCGGGGATTAAAATTAGTTGAAAATCGTTCAGATTTATTTGAAATTTATCGTACATTATCATGGGAATTATCAAATAGTTATTTTGCAATGGCAATATCACTTCAAGATTATGCACCATTGAGTACAATGTCTCAAGAAGATGTAAGGAATACCAAAAAAAACAAAACTTAAACATTGACATTGAAACATTCTGGGAATAAATTAATAAATGAGATTCATTTTTGTAATTGAGACTACGTAAGAATAATCTATCGAAACAAACTTGATAGGTCGAAAAACAGGGTAGTGTAATTTTATGTCTTTTTGAACTTGAATCCAAAAAGAAAATGAATTTTTGAACTCGAATTCGTCTAGAATCTTCTGGTTCTTATCAGTAAGCTGTGAGTGACTTGCTACTCGAATACCGTTTGTAAGAACTGGAATCATCGATCTAAGATGAGGCTTGTTCTGTTTTGAGGAAATGACATTCCAGTAATAGAACAAAAATTATTTGATCACAACATCACTTCAGATCAAATAATGTTTTCAGTAATTTCGCAAATTCAATCAAAATTAATTGTATTAACAGTTTGCCACACAAACAAAACAAAATTATATCCAAATGAAAGATCGACGCCTAGAAAAAAAATTCTTTCATAAAAATACAAAAATATTTAATAGTAATTTGAAAATATTTCTTTGTTTTTATTTTTAAAGGTTGAAAAAGAAGTAATTGAATGTATGACACGTGCATTAAAATATCTTGAAGTTGAACTTCATTATCCATCATCAAACCGTTATTCTCTAGCAAAATATCGAGCTGGTACAATTCATCATCGTTTGGCTTCATTATTACATAATGCATTTCGTACAGAAGTATGTTAAAAATTTATTTCGTTTTCTTTTTAAGTTTCTAATTAATTTCTTTGTCTTTTCTCTTTTAAGGAAAGTAAAATTCGTCGAAAACATTTACGTTCATTAGCTTCGTTACATTATGAAAAAGCTTTAAAATTATTTTCACCTCATGATAATCCACTTGAATATTTACGTCTTTTAATTGAAGAAGTTGCTTTAGCTGATTTTGAACTTCAAAGTAAGAAAATATGTACCCTTTCAGGCAAAATACGACATACCAACCTTTCATTTGACCTTGATTCTTTACAAGAGTTATTATTCTGATTAAGATCTTTAAGTATAGACATATGTAAAAATATTGACTCTTTCAATTGATTATTAATGATGAAGTAATTAGCAAAGGATCTCTTTAAATCAAACCTAGCTCTAAGAAATTCTATTATTCCGAAATATATGTATTTTAATTTTACAAAGTCACATCACTAACGAATGATTTTGTTCATAGAATTTATTTTATTTTTTGAATTTTAAATATTTTTTTATGAATAGATGCAACTGATAATCCATCACGTTTAAAATATTCTCAACAAGGATTACGTGCATCATTTCAATGTCAAGAAACAATAGCTATTATTGATCAACATCGAATAAGTCCCGATCCCGATGATTATAATGAAATATTTGCACAAGAGGCTCAACGTCTTTTATCTATATTAAATGGACGTATTCAAACATTTCTAAAAGAAATTGTTAAAATATTAAAAATAACAAGTAGTAAAAAATTAATCTATGAAGATTATAAAGAAATGTATAGTATATCATTACGATTAAATGATACATCAGCAACATTTCCACGTGATTTATATGACGCAATTGAACGTTTAAAAAAGATTTATGATAAAAATACCAGTGACTAAAGAAAAAAATAAATAAAATAAAATAAAATTTTGTCTTTTTGATTTATTGATGTTTTTCGTGTTTTTTCTTTTTTTGTGTTTCTTTGACATAATTATTTTCTATATTTATCTTGTCATTTGTTAAACTTGAGGATATGATCTATTTACAGATAATATAATGAAAAAAAAAAATTTCAATGAAAGTAAAAGAAAAAGAAATGTGTTAATTAATTAATATTAACTATGAGTCGATTGAATACATCATTAAAATATAGATTGGATTGTTCTTATATTCGATCAGGTTTTTATTTAAAGTGAGAAAAATCATCTTATGTATATATTTATAATTTTGATTAAATGATTTATTTTCTTTTTGGAAGATTTAAACGATGGAATTCAACACGTTGTCAAGTATTAATTATTATTGGAATTCTTGTAGTTTTTATTAATGAAGTTTTATTTTATCAATGGGCTTCTCTTAATTGGCCAAATATTGAAGAAATAGCAAAGAAGTAAGAGGATGATATACGAGTTAAGAATTTGGGAACTAATTGATATGTTTATCGATGAAAAATCGATCAGCTTTATGTCAATTAATACACTCAGTTTTTTTTTGTGAAAAATAGTTTCGTAGTACTGTGAAATGTGAATTTTACATAATAGTGTAGCTTCTCATATTAGTACTAATCAAAGGGAGCTCACTGCCTTTCACCAACAGTTGAGTTCGACTTGAAAAGACACTTGAATCGCCTCTAGAACCATTACCAGAGAGTCTTCGGTCCTTCAGCGTTGTCCTGGTTGTGCCACTTGTTTCTCATAGAGACAAACTTCATATTAGTTTATCTTGTTTCATATACATTGATACTAGAAAAACTGATGCAGTTTCGATTATAATAATTGAGTGTAAACGCATGAAATCAAATATTCATTTGAAAAACATAAAAGAGATTGAAGATCTATTATATACAAAAATTATAATTAGCAATTATGTGGAAGTTATACAGTACGACAGATGGATACAGAGCAACATTTTTGAGTCGTGCACTGTCCTGTAGAGCAGAGCACAAGTTCCTGAAAATGTATTACATTGCCTGAAAAAAGCAACAATGATGTTATATGATAGCATAGCACATTGTTTGATTAAATTCATTTCACAACAAAAATAATTTACAATTCAAGTGACAAGAAAAGTATGAATGTCATTAAAATAATAATTGCTTTAGTTGTTCAGAAATATAGAACTTAGAAGAAGATGAAATTGAGTCACTTGCAAGACAAAATATAAAAGAATTTGATGTACTTTCAAGGTCAACCGTTGACAGTATGTAAATATTATCAAGAAAACCAAATGATAGAATATAAATACAACTTTTTTAATGCTTATTTTATTTTATTCTCTATCTTTTTTTATTCCTAAAATTTTTGTCTTTGAAACACTCAAAATAAAAAACGTTGCTTTTTCAGATAAGAACTGGATGTTTAAGCTATCATAATATAAAGATTGCCCTGTGTCTTGTGTCCATTTCGGTACAATACTTCAATGTACAAGAATATAAAAAAGTTATTCGATGTTAAAAAAACAGAAGACTATGATTATCTTAAGTGAAATAAAAGAAAAATGTCTTATGAACTTGAAACGCATAATTTGATACAATATAGTTATGGCTTTATCTTGTTCAGCTAAGCAGATGAACACGATCCCTTCTGAGTATTAAGTTGTGTCACGTTTCTGACATTGTATATGCTGGATATAACAGATGAGAAAGACTAAATTTTTTTAAAGTTATGATTTGTTGTCTTATTCTGTTCTGAAATTATGAAATAATCTGATGAATACACTGCAAAAGTCCTGTATTTCCACTATATTCATATTGCCGAACAAAAGTTTAGAGCTTGAGTAGCTGAAATGATTCTCTATCAGGATTTATGGACCTCAAAACATCAATAGAACGGTTTGGATGACGTTGTTTGGAAAGCCAAGACCTTCAAATCCAATTTGCTGGCATATATTTGAAGCTTTTGAGGATGATCTGATTTGATCAAGCAAAAAGTGAGGTCTTGGTTCTCTTCTCGACCCTCTTTTATCGAACTACATTCAATTTACAGAAAATCTAACAAGTATTTTTCTTTTGTTTTTATGACAAAATTCAATGGTTTTACAAGACATCTCATTTGGCTCTATCAAATGAAAGTATTTCCAAAAAGCTTCAAATAGACATCAGAAAAATGGTTTTAAAGGTCTTGATTTTCTAGCCATCATCATTCAAGTAGTTTTTAGATCCATCAATATTGGTAGAGAATCTTCTTAGCTACTCAAACATTTTTTCAGATTCTTCTTAACTATTACAATGGAAAAGAAAGCCAAAAAAAAAATACAGCTGCTCTAAATTTATCTTCATGGTTATACTGAAGAGAATTTTACATTTTATGTTTTTCTTTTCTATAATAGACCTTCTGTTGAAAAACTTCTTCTTATTGCTGATCCACAATTAATTGGTGAAAAAGATGAAGGTATTTTGAGTTTCATAACTAAAAGAGAAGCCGACCGGTAAGATTCTCTATATTTAATTCCTTATTTATTATTTTATTGTTTCTATAGATATCTTGCTAAAACTTTTGCACAAGCTAATGCTTATGTTAAACCTGATTGGGTTATTTTTTTAGGTGATATTTTTGATGAAGGTTTATCAGCATCTGACGATGAATTTAAACGATATTTGGATAGATTTAATTCAATATATGATTATAATAATCATGAACAACATTATATTATTATTCCAGGTGATAATGATGTTGGTGGAGAATATTATGGTGATAAACAACCAATATTAAGGCAACGTTTTCGAAATTATTTTGGTCGTACAATTGCTTTATATCATCAAAATGATATACAATTTTTAAAAGTATTTTTTATTCAAAATTTTTAAATATATTTTATTTAATTATTTTAGTTAGATATGGATATGTTTGATTCATATTCAGAAGGAAAACGTAATGCAATAATAGAACAAATGCAAAATCGTCCAATGACAGCAAATTTTCGTATTGTATTAAATCATTGGCCAATATTAACACGTACTGCTCGTTTTATAAAACCATTTATTAATGAATTAGAACCAAATATTATTCTCAAAGGTGATAGTCATCATGTATGTAAAGATTTATCATTTAAATTTTAGAAAATAAAACAAAAAAAAATTTATTTCTAGTTTTCTATAATATCATATGATCGTGTAAATATGATAAATAAATTTCTAGCTAAAGAATATCTTCCACAATCAATTTATTCATTAGATTTAAATCAAAAAAAAATTTATTTATGAA